TCCACTGAGATGTGATCTTTGTTTTCCTTAAAACCAACCATTAATTTTTCTTGACTGTCCAACAAGGTTTTAATTGGCAACATCTTAAAAATCAGCTTAGTTTCGCCCATGTTCTGAACTAGTTTGTGTTAATTTATCCAATGTTATCATTCCCTTAAAGTTACCAGCAGACAATTTCTCACCACTTACCCTAGCAAAATATATGCCATGTCACATTTTTTACTAAATGATCCAACCTCCACTTGTTACGAAATTCTCTAGGTCTTCAATTTTGGAGTGAATCTTTATTTTTCAGCATTAGGCAACTGCAGTGCACTGATGAGCATACCTCCACTACCTTTCTGCAGAACCACAACAATAGAGCTTCACCAACATGACAGAGAATGTTTTTTTTTCCTGCATGTAGGAATTATAAATGGTTTAATCTGTCTCAATGTTTAAACAAATATCTTCAATACAACGCCTTTCCTTTTGCATATTGTAGACTGTAATTTTTCCAAAGTTCAGTTCAGGCAGATTATTTCCACAGACTCACAACTATATGCACTCTTCAGAGTCTGGAGTTGTTTATCCATTCTCACAACTCGTTTATCTATCGCATTAGATTCACTTATGATAAATCACAATAAAAAAAGAGTCTGATATGAACGTTAAAACTGAAATTGTTCTGTGATCTATGGTTTGATGAGTGTATTAGGGTTTTGTAGTGTATGCCGGTTTTTGTTTTGAATGGATGGACATTACGAATGAATACTGGACTGCAAATTAAAATAGGATGCTGTATTTATAAAAACAAACATAATTAAATCGGTAGAAATGGGCAAAAATCAGGGTGACAATGATGTTAATTTGTTAGTTAATTTTGATTAATGTAAAATTTATTTTGCTTCTTTAAGTGGTGGTTAAATATCTGATACCTGATGATTTGTAATTGATGGTGCAATGAAAAATGGTTCCCTGTTGTTCTTCCTTCTTCTCCCATTTTCTCTATTTCCTCTGTGGACTGGTGGTTCCCTCTGTTATACTCCTGCATTGTTAAATTTACTTTAATTAGAAGAAAATAAGGGTATCCTGGTTTGGCCGAACACTAAAGATCTCTTTCCTTTATTGAAAACCATATATTGTCAATTTTAGTACAGGTGATTGCTCACTATCAGTTCCACTAACACTGGCTTTTTTCCTTTAGGAAATTACATATTTGAAAGGTGTTTGGGGATGTTTCTTGAACAGAAATGACGAACAAACGGAACAACTATCCTAGAATACAAAGTAAATATTTGAAGGTACAAATGATGTTTAATAATATTTGGCTCAGCAAACCATTGTTTGGCTTTAGTAACCTTCCATTTCCATGTAACCTTTGATTTTCTAAATTTACAGGAAATTATTTACATAATACATTATATTTGGGTACATGATTTATTATAGGATATTTTACTCTTCATAATATCCATGAAATTTTAATCAACTAGGATATTACTGATTGTTTTTGAATGCTCATGTTTGTTTTATTGTTCTTTGTTTTTATTTATAATTACATTATAATAAAGAAGTGTTGGTTGAATGAAGTGGATCTGAATTTATAAGTTCTTTCAATATCCTCATCCTTAATTTTTAATTTTTTGGTGAAAGATTGCAACAATGGTTTTTAGTCATTTTTTTTTCTTTGTAAGTTACCTCAAATTTCTCTTCATGAGTGAATATCTATCATCTTCTAGTTGATTTTAACCTCAACATTTTAACATTTCCACAGAATGAGATTTTTACACCATCTTCAAATACTTTTAAACTGGGCACAATTATTTTTGAATGAACATCTGTTCATATTTTTTCCAATTTACGTTGGTTACATCTAAGAATTTGCTGTAGCATAGCTTATATTTTAGCAGTTCCTGCATCTCCACACATATGTTTTACATATTTAAAATCTTACCTAATGAATTAGAATTTAATTTAAAACTTTGGTTACTCTAGTAACGCTTCTTCCTTTTTGAATCTTTGCAAAGACAACATGATTAACTTTGAATTTTTATGTATGTCATTAGAACATTCTTTCCTAATAATTCCTCCATCTAAGACTTTAATAAACATTTTTCCCTATTATACATTGGACCATTTAGTTCTCTTTATGGTGATTGCTGATTTCACTTTTTATACACTGACAGGCAAAAAATTCCACCCACTTGATTTTTTCATTTTTTTATCTTAAAATATTTTACCTACTTGTAAAAAAAGTTGTATTGGTATATAATACATGGTATTTGTAGATAATACTTAGTATTTATGGAATTTTATAATATTTTTTACCTTTAATAATTAAAATGTAATTGGGTAAGAAAGATTAGAGAAAAAAAATTGAAAAACGAACCATTATTATTCTAAAAGAAATTAATTACATTATCGTTTAGTAGCGCGTGTTTCCTTCTCTTGCCTTCACTACTTCTTGAAGACGCCTCGGCATACTTTCCACCAGTCCGGAAATGTCCCTTTGCTGGAGGATAGCTCATTCCTCCCGAAGAGCCCTTTCAAGGCCCTGCAGTGTATCAGGAAGAGTTGCACGTACTCTTATTCGTCTTCCGAGGTTATCCCATAAATGCTCAATGGGGTTCAAATATGGAGAACGTGCAGGCCAGGCTAAAACCTCAATATTGTTCTGTTGAAGGAACGTCCGCAGTATGCGGGCGACATGTGGGCGTGCATTATCGTGCATTAAAATAGAACGATCGCCGATTTCGTTGAGGATAGGCAACACATGAACAAAATCTCATCTACATAGTGAATGGACGTCAAAGACCCTCCACGAACAACAACCAATTCTGTGCGGTGCTCCATTGAAATCCCAGCCCACACCATTAAGGAACCACGTTGGAAAGGTTGGCTCTGGGAAAAATTACAGGCTGCATATCTTTCGTTTCTTCTTCTCCACACCCTTTCATGCCCATCTGGAGATCGAAGAGCGAATCTTGACTCATCTGTAAAAAGTACAGCACTCCATTCGTCTATAGTCCAATGGCTGTGTTCTCGAGCAAAAGCCAGCCGTGTTACTCTGTGAGTTCTGGTCAACTCTGGTCCTCTTACTGGATGAAAAGCCATTAACCTATACTCATGTAATATTCTCCGAGTGGTACGTTCAGAAATTTGCACACCTCGAACTTCTTCGAGCTGATGAATTGCTTGAACAACGGTAAGGTGCCGGTTTCGTAAAATTCTCAAAGTCAAAAACCGGTCATCCTATGGTTCTGTTACCCTAGTTTCATATGGAAGTCCGATGGCATTAGCTGCATATCTAATGGAACGTCCATCATCAATAAGTGCCACACCACGCGCAACATTCTCAGCACTAAGAGGCATTTTTAAACTTAATATTGAAAAAATTAAAAGCCGGAGACTAAGAAATGTGCTGCAAGAAACGGCACTGAACTGAATGATACTGAATAAACATTTTGATTCCATAGAAAGTAAACATTGGAATCTAGAATAATTTCATTGAATTAAGGATTAAGGGTTATTGTCCTCTATATTAACATTCCTAATTGAAAACAAACAAAAAGATTACCAATTTATTCATTAAAAATAATAGACCAATCCAAAGCAGAAATATTTTTAGATGAAAACATGAAAAAATCAAGTGGCTGGAATTTTTTGCCTGTCAGTGTATTACTCTAAGAATAATTTAAAGAATATTTAAAAATTCTTACAAAAGTAGAAATGGTCAAAGCGTATAATGTAGACACCCTTGACAAATTTGACACTGTCTTTCTATTCATGAGGTTTTATTAATTTATATTTCATCTCTAGAACTATTATCTTTTTTATTATTTTCATTAGCTGTTTTAGCATAAAATAAAAATAACAAATAAGTCATTTAGAAACACGGTAAAATGACAACCCCCTTCAAACACACAAAATAAGTATCTGCCTGGACTTCAGTAGATGGAATTGGTTGCATCATTTTGTTTTACATAGTACTGGTAATAAAAACTTTTGTTCATTGTAAATTCAAACAGACACAAATCGAGGTGTTGGTGAGTTGAGAACTGATTGTATAATGGATTCAATTAAAATAATAGTGATTAACAAGAAGAAACAAGTGGAAAGTTAAAACAGACCTAAAGATCAACTTATCAATGCACTTATAAAAACTAATAAATAAAATGATCAAGTTTCCAGAAAAATAATAATAAAAATTCATAAATTCCAAGTATTTTTATTGACTTGTAGGAAATAAAGGATAAAAATGTTTTCAAATTGTTACTAAACATTTCTGATCTCTTTCCATTCATTAATATAATTAGTTTTCACTTCATTAATACACTATTGTAGAATACTTTTTATATACTGCCATAAATAATCCAAATTATTTTTTACTATATGGTGCCTGTGCGTACCTTACTTTTGAAAGGTATATAAAAAAATGCCTAATAAATATCTTTATATATATACCTACTTTTCTACATTGGGTTATTTCTATAATTAAATTCTAGTATTCAATTGTATTAAGTCTCCAGGCCAATTAATTTATTCTCTTCTTATTGTTGGAAAATGTAACATAATCTAACATGTCAAGAACAGACATAACTGGCTAGCCACTCCCTGAATAGTATGATACTGATATATTATCACCATTTTGTTTTAATTTATACTTAAATGCTTCAATTAAATACAACAATGATGCATAGAATAAGTAAATGTTTCAATTGATAATTTTCTAAATTACTTCATTGTTTATGAGTACTTTAATTTAAGTTTTGCTCTAATCATATAAAGTATTTCAATGTCAGATCTAAGTTTCTGAATGATAGATAAGATTATTAAATAATAATTATATACATAAAAAACCTTAAAGGAGAATTTTGATTCCTGGCAAATTAATATATTGGGTAAGGAATTAGAAAATCTACTTTGATTATTAATTTTATTTTATATTTAGTTCATTGGCTGTCATTACTTCAGTAATAACATGTTTATTGATATTAAAAGTTGCCTTATTATATACTTACAGGAGTGACATTAGCTTCAAAACTCAGCACTGGCTTTTCCCGTCTAAAAAAAAAAAACATAATATAAATAAAAACATTAAAAAAAAAAAAATCAAAATTCTGATTAACTAGCTTCATAGATAGAAATATAATTACAGATTTAAAGACAGTATACTACAAATAGGAAAAATAATAGAAAAAAAATAGTATGTCTAAAAATGAATATCATGTTTACAATTTTTTATAGCCTTATTTTGTTAATAAAGAGATAATTTGAGTTTATCATTCATTGTTTTATAGTCTTAAATTTCTTATATGTAGCCTGCACAACATTTTTAAATTAACAGCTAACCCATTGGAAGAAAAAAAAAGGGTTACTCATCCCCTAAAACGTATAATCTATGGTTCATAAATATTTTTATATTAATTATAACATTTTAAGCACTGTCATAATTTTTTAATTGTATTCCGATTTAATATGACATCTTCAGAAAGGCCTGGTTCTTAACCATGTATAGTCCAGCAACGAATAATTTTTTTATTACCTTATAAGTGACAGGTTTGACCACTGGATATGGAAGATCTTATCATTTAGTATGAAGAAAATATTTGTCTGGCATTTTCTCCGGGTGATATTGGGGTGCACCATGTTTCAAAATTGACTAAAATTACCTCATAACCTTGGGAAATAGTTTATGCCAGTCTTAAGACTTCTTAGAAATGTCTTGCAAAAAAATCTGACAAAATATTGTTGTGGGTTTGAACAACCAGACAAAACCATAAATTTAAAAAATTTGAAAAACAAAATTACATCATAAGCATCACAAAAATTGTTTGCATGAAAATGTTCTAATAGAAATGCTTCAGGAAATATTCATCAGACAAAAATGTTTTGGTTATCTGTCCCTTAAAGACAGTAAATTTCGGTCATATAACATCATAAGTGACAACCTCGTGAATTAAGTATATCTATCTATCAATAGAGATGATTTAGGAAATCCCTCATCAGAAAAACAATGTAGATTATTTAACTCTTCTAGATAAAAAAAAAAACCTTGACTGAAATTTCAGAATAAGCAGCCAGTTCAGAAATGGCTTATCCATATTCATCTCTCAATAAAACTGTGAACGAAAATCTTGGCACATTAGCTGGTAGGGTAATCTTATGAAATTGCTTGGATATATTTGAATCTTAAGACTTAAATATATTTATTTGAAAATGGCACAATAATTTCATGGATTTAATAAACCATTCAAATTAAAATTTTACAATATTTAAACAGTAATTGTATTTCGAACAGTACAAGTTAGTGACTTTCACATCAAAATATATTTCTGTTTACTTAATTACTCTAAATTTAACTAAGCAGTCAAAGGATTTACCAAGTGATAAGTGAAATCATAAAGATTTGGCAGCTGAATTTTTAAATTATTTTAGAAATAATGTGAACCAATCACATTCAGTTTATTAAAATAAACAGTTTATGATGTGATTTACTGGAAAACATTCAAAACAAATGAAAGATCACAATATATATTTTTTTATTGAATACTTAATAGTTGACCGTTGCATTATAAAGGAAGGAGATGGTTCGGGGTTGCGGTCATAAATAGACTATATAGTGGTAAAACTATTTTATTGAAAGCCTGACTTTCAATAAAATAGTTTTACCACTAATTAGCCTATTTATGACCGCAACCCCGGACCATCTCCTTCCTATATATTTTTTTAAATAACACTCAACTTATCACTGCCATTAATCATTTTCTTCTTCAATGGCCGAGTCATCATATTTTTTTATTATTTTTTAATTTCTTGAATTTCGAGTTTGTAAAACCACCCATGATTAGAGAAATCATTGACTGATTCAAAAAAAATTTTGGAGGGTTGGTTAATGTTCTCAAATTATGTGATATGCTTAAACTGGGGAGTTCCTATGTGTTGTAGAACCAACATTAGCTGCAAAAAACCTCAATTTTCCGATCACATTTTTTAAAAATAATTCAATATTCATGAATATGAATAGAAGGAAAAGCTCCCCTCTTTCTAATGAATCAACAAACGTTGAAATCGGATAAACTAAAGAAGAGATAAAGAGCTTCTAACTACAACATAATTTTGTGGGTTTTAATACTTAGAACTAGAGATGGGCAGGCGAATCAGGAATTGAATAAGAGTCAATTCCTCTGAAAGAATTATACTCTCAAGGAATTCACAGAAAAGAATCACAATTCACTAGGAATTGGTTGATTCAATAGGTATAATTAAAAATAAAAGTAAAAGAGAAGAAAAACAACTCTATGAACATATAAATAAACCTGAGGGAAAAAATAAATAAATAAACAAAATTATTATATAAATAAGCATGGGTTATAAATGTCTGAAGTGCGAAATGTTAAATTAAATATTTAAATAATAATAGGTAATTAAAAATAAAAGCACAAAAGAGATAAAATTAACAAAATAGTAATGCAAATTAGCATATGTTATATATATTCGAAGTGCGAAATGCTTGTGGAAGAGTAGATTCGGAAAGTAGGCAAAACAACTCAGCGAACAATGCAACAAGGTTGGAAGATTTTCTAGAACAAACCCGGTGAATTGGTCGATTTTCCTTAGGAATCGGTTGATTCACAGATTTTGTTCTAGATAATCTTCCAGTCGTGTTCCATTTTTTGTTGGGTCGTTTTGTTTAATTTCCAAATCTACTCTTTCACGAGCATTTTGCACTTCGGATGTTTAAAACCTAAGCTTAGTTGCATTACTACTTTGTTAATTCTTTCTTAGTTTGTTTTATTTATACATATATGTACAGATTTTTCTCTTTTGTACTTAATTTTTTAATTACCTATTATTATGTTAATATTTACTTTAATGTATGAGCACACTGTCATGTTTTATTTATTTTGTATTTATAATTAGTTCTACAAGGTCATCAGTCCCAGGATAGTAAAATTATATTTAATTTAATTTACAATTTATATACACAGACCAAAATCTAATATGTAAAATAAAAAAAAAATCCTTTTCCATCCAATTTAAACTTCCTTTCTATTTATAAGATTCATGACTTTTTATTTGTTCATATTTGAAGCTAGACTTTTAATTTCAATCAGTTAAAAAGACATTTTTTTTGTTGCCTGAATAGTCATAAGGTTTGAGAATATTTGTTACTGTTATTTTTTTCGATAAAAATTTAATTATGAAAAGAATCGATTCATCACAATGATTGAATTGTTGAGTCGATTCAGTTAAAAGAATTGAATTACTCATTTCTACTTTGAACCCCCTCAAAACAGAGAAAGTAATTTTGTTTTTAATATTTTCAAAAGCTTTAAATATTTTACAGTATTTTTTGGAATTCTGAACAAAAATATATCATGTTTTCAGTGTGACTAAAATATATAGCAACTTTACTTAATAATTCAGATTCCTTACTTTAAACTTTTAATTTACTCTAAAAACAGATGTTTTGGTGGCAGAACGAGGTCTGAGTCATTTCGAAACTTGAGAAAAAAAAAATAGTGTTATTTTTAATCTTCTATCTTGTTGACTTCCCCATCACCTCCGAGTAGACCACATAACCCATGATGACTTAATTTTCCAGGTTCACATTTTCAGTACCAAACTTGAAATACAGAATAAAGTTCGTTTTATTTTATTTTAGTACTATTGGTACTAGTCTGATAGCTGGTCGGGATCGACTGCTATCTGCCAAAGTTTATAACCTGAACACAGACAATTCCTATATTCGTATTCATAGTTATTGTATTATATTCATATTATTGAAATTGGAAACAAAAACAAATGTAATAATAAAAAAATAATTTTATTTTACAACATATATATTAAATAGACAAAAAGAAATGTAATAATTTCCACAACGATAAGAAAACGCTTTAATTTTACAACATATATATGAAATAGAAAAAAATAAATGTAATAATAAAAAACATTTAAACAATATATGTACATATAAAAGAAACACTATAAACTACATATGTACATATAAAAGAAACAATATAAACAACATATCTACACATAAAACAATTTCATTTTCATTTCATTTATTTTGGCAGACAAAATACTTTAATGCTATTTAAAATAGCGAGCCGCTCTTCTCTGTGAGCCGCCGCCACAAAAGTTCACATAAATATGAATCGAGGTGTTGTCTGGCAGTTCCTCTATGTTTCTCAGGCAGTTTCTCCACTTAGCTGAGGCCTATAATTGTTCTATATGTTGAGTATGATCCCCACTTGATGGCTTAACAAAATTATACCAGTGATTCACCTGTAAATGATTATAGTTTGCTTCATTCAGTTGTTGGGCGTTGTTTCCTATCCAACAGTCAGAATTAATGGTGCTTCCCTCTTGTATATTGTTTTTAATACCTTGTAATAAAGTTGTTGCCTTTCTGTCGTTTATTTTCATGATAAAACACTCGTCTGTTGCTCGGCAAATTCCGCCAAACATCCATTGCTTAGGTAGAACTCACCTTACATCATTATTTCTTTTAGAAAAAAGACTCTCGTCTACTTCAACACCTTTTCCAAGCCCTATAATTTTTTTACTTGACCTGTATAACATGTTATGGGCACAAACCTCTCCTAAACATTTGTTCCACATAATCATAGTTGCCTTGGATAGTTTCAGGTGCTCTTTGCCCCATTATATCGTTGTTAAATTATGGGACCACCCATAAATTAATTTTAAAGCAGTTAAAAACAAAATCCTCGACCCCTCTAACCACGTTCCTTTACTTATAGAAATGTTTTTGTTACAAGAGGTACAAAAGTATCTCTATTTCGTCTTCTTGTCTAACTTAATTTGATGACCTTCTTGACAAAATTTCACGTATGGAATTATCCCAGCATTTTGAAAATATTCGATAGCCTCTTCTTCTGAAGATTGCAATTCCCAGAATCTAATAACATCCATAATTTGAAGAAAATCACACAAATGGAACAAAAATAAACAATGGAATAACTCACAGCTTACACGAGATAAGAAAGGAGGTTATTGGATAACAAGAGAGGTTTTGTCCTGACCGGACAAGTACCATA